GGCAACAGTAGGCGCTGTACTGTTGATTGGATCGCATGAAGACTTCATGGGTTTCGTTGATTTTGACACTTTTGGGTCCGCAGACCATATGCTGCTGTCCGGCCCCCAGACAGCCCTTCCTATAGCTGAAGCGCCCGTACTTTTGATCCCAAACGGTTGAACTGAAGCACTAATCCATACAAATAGGACACAATTATCCACAAAATCAATGGTACGCCAAAGACTATACTCACGAGTAAAGCGTTGTCACAAGTGTTGCCATTGGGATCCGTATCGCAGGCCTCGTACTCACAGTGAAAGCACCTCATCCTGTGTCCCAACCCACCAATTGGTCACTCGATACACATTTAGTGATATATTTTGTGGTAAATCATAAAATTTAAGATAAAAATTAAAACTCAAAACATATTTCTCTCATCAATTCAATGGTTGTATAGAAATAGTAAACAAAGTAATCGATCATTGAATGCATAGACTATCGATTGTTTTGTTACGATATTCATAGTATGGCTAAACCTGTGTATAATTACTATCAGGGTTCATTAATCAATTAGTTGTCATTTCATTGATTTTATAATTTTATTTAATATTATCTGTCATTTGAGAGCTGATTATTAAACACACATTTCAATCATTGATTGATGTATTAGTTTAAAACAAGTGTCACTATAACTGACATTTACTGTATAATGAATGCATTCATAGCGATGTTCAGGCATTTCAGGCCTTTGGGCTAAAAATACTTTTGACAGCAAAACGAAAAGTTCATAAAACTATTGATAAGTTTTCTGAAAACTAAATCATCTTTTGATTTATAGCTGAAAGAAACCGATTACACAATTTTCATTGTATTTTTCGGTTTAAATTTACATACAATTGGTTTCAATGAACACAAAAAACACTAAAAATATATGTATTATATTCATAGCGGAGATCTATTCAATTTATACAATACCTGACCATTCATGTGTGAGGGGCACAGGTAGTTTTTTGTGTGCCCGCAATTTATCACTTAAACTCTTTGGGCCATTGTTTGCAAAATAGCTAAATATGATAATTGATTTGAAAAATATGATACCCCGGCTCACGTCACCCATACATTGCAACCGTACGTACAGTTGGGCTCAAAGACTATTATTAATTGTAATATTATTTCCACCGAAAAGATAGATTATCTCTTGGCTATTGAACACAAAACTAATTGAAAAGTTAAAAAAGTTTTAATTTCCAAATCAAGAATCTCTCTCTCTCTCTCTCCCTCTCTCTCTCTCTCTCCCTCTCCCTCTCTCTCCCTCTCTCTCTCTCTCTCTACTGTATTTTTACTACAGATAATTAAGTTCTGAATACAGCGATTGTTAATTAGTTGAGACTATAATTAGATAATTACATACAATATAATGAATACATTTTATGCCATTAATTAAGGGATTGTTTGATATTTTATTTGTATTTCTGTTCCAATTCTTGCGGTTAATCGACAGACAAATCATTAGTTGTTTTGCGGCGAAAAACACGGCAATTGTTTTAAAAATCTAATTTATTTTAAATCAGAAAACTTTAAGTTTTGTTGTTGTTGTAATTTTATTTTTCACATATAATTAAAATAAGTCAAAACATTTTGAACTAAAATGCTTTTCAGTCTAATTTATCACTCGAAGCATCGATTCTGTGACCAAATCTTTTATATATATTTTTTTCTTAAGACTTAATTAAAGAATAAAATAAATTTTCCCAAAGATTTTTGCGATAACTTATTAATATTAATAAATAATAATAATATGATTGCAAACAATTCTGTGTTAAGTGCTCTGAATTTTAATCTCTCGATGAGTCGTAACTTATATATTGTATTTGTATGTGTTTAAGAAATTATTATAAATGATTCATAAATTATAAATATTAAAATAAAACAAAAAATTTTATTACAAAATATAATAATTATAAACTATAATAACTATTTGAATGAAGTATAAATTAATACCAAACGCTATCAAGAATTTTATGACAAACAGTTAATGTGATAATAAGCTACATATTAATAACTAGTAATAACTTACATATCATTAACTAACTAACTATAAGTTTTGATATTTATTATTTGAAAACCGCATACAATTACTCAATCATCACAAATGCATTGTATTGATTGGAATTAATTAATAAAATGGGGCATTGATTGGGGGTATTCTCGGCGTTAAATACCATTTTCACGAAACCCATTAGAATATGAGGGCATTAGAAATGACATTTAAAATTGCATTTAATATGTATTTGCATTTTGTTTTAATATGTGTTTTAATATTACATTTTTTATAAACAGATACTATGGCACCGGTATTATCAGACAATACCCATTAACCACGAATACAGCTCCCGCTGACATCAAAGGAGCCAGCACACACATCCTCCTATGAATTATTAATTAATCAAATACAGTATAATATAAATTTTTGTGTGGATAAAAACATTTGACCATAAAATATAAGTATAATATCAGTGCAAATTATTTAGTACGAAAATATAACTATAAAAAACATTTCAAAAACATATATCATATCTGTTTTCAATGTGTTTCTCTCGAAACACTAAACATTTGACAAAACTATTCATAATCTC